GGAGAATGATGATGTTTTGGATAAAATCAAGAAAGTTGGAATTAATAATCCCAACTTGTGCTCTGTGGTTGAAAATTAATCTGAATGTCCACAACTTTAAAGATTTAAAAGGGAAGATTAAAACATTTCTTGCCAAGCTCAAGATCAAACATAAAAAGCGCGGAAGAACCTTCTCTTCTTCTGAGAAACGCGAGAAAAAATGGCTGGCGTTAGAACTGTACCCAAAACCTGCTCCTCCCACATCAAGACCAGGTAGACTAGCCACATCATTTCTTGATAGTTCGGAGAGAGCTAAAAGGAGAAAAGTTTCCTAGTATATAATAATCTATATGCTACGTTTTTGGTTGCTAATTTTATACAATATGAGTACATTTATAAAAAAATTAGCAACCAAAGTACAGTTTGATTGGTGACCATTGTACCAAAGAACTTGCCTGTGCTGCTGCGTTGAGGGCTAAATCGAGCCAGAAAAGGCAGACTTTTTAAAAGCTATTAAACATTCGGTCAAAAACCCAGCTCTTACCAGGAAAATTAAAATACAAAAACGAATCCAATAATGGTGAAAGCAGAAGAGTCTCTTGCATTAAAGATAAATTGTGATTTCAGTGATTCACAATATCAAGTTCTTAGAAACTCTTTACTGAAACAGAATGCAGATATATACCCTTCAGTTAAAGTAATATTTGAAGCAAAATCCAAATATTATCCAGAAAATTTGAAAATTTTACAAACATCTGCCAAGTGTTATGTTCACTCAACCGTGAACCACACTTTATCAATAACTATACATATCGAATAAAGAGTGTCTAGATGGATCGGAAACAACTGGAAAATTCTATATGAAAGCTGGAATGGATGGAGCCTCATCTCAAAGTGTAAACAATTAAAGGTTTGATGACACAGATCTTGAAAACGAAAAATCTTTGTTCCAAATTGCTATTGTTGAATTAGATGTTTGGGAGCAAATAGAAAGTCTTCAAGATTTTGAACTTGAAATCCCCTTCCCTAAACAGAAAGCAAAGATAGAAATAAAAATTTAGATGTCCATATTGGACGGAAGGGCATATATATATGTATATATATATATATATATATATATATATATATACATATATATATATATATATATATATATATATATATATATATATATATATATATATATATATATATATATATATATATATATATATATATATATATATATATATATATATATATATATATATATATATATATATATATATATATATATATATATATATATATATATATATTAGTAAATAGTCATAACAGTTAAAACAAATTTTTATATTGAAAAAAGTTGAAGCAATCATCAGAAAAATATTATAAATATAGAACATATTTATCTAAAGTTTAAAAAAAATTATTGAAATCCTACAGTCAGATTTTAAGAAAATTGATTTCTAATAAATAAACAAATCTATGAGTTTAGGTACGTGAGTAAAAATTTAAATTGTTTGAATACTATAATGCTATATATCATTAGAAAGAGCATTATTACAGTATTTTAAAGGTGAAAAAATTATTAAAATTGAACAATTGGTTTAAAAGTTATGACGGTTAAAGTACCGATTTTTCGATATATGGATTTGTTGAAGAAACTGTGGTCGAAATAATGTTTTTTTTCACTTAAATTGTCATAACTTTGTCAATTCTTATCAAAAAAACAAATATCTTGGCGTCAAAAGATAGGCGTAAGAGTGGGCTACAACTTTAAACTCAACTTTACAACTGTTAAACTCTAACCTCTGGGCGTTTCGGATGGACAGAGGGGGCTCCAAACCACCACCATGCCCCTATAAAACCGAACACTTTTTTCTGAAAAAAAGTTTTTTTTTAAGACATAAGCAATATAAATATAAAAAAAAGTTGTTTTAAATTTATACTAAACCACCAAAATATATGAGAGGTGTATGTTAGCAATAGAGGTGGGTGTGGTGGTGGTTGTTTGATACACCCTAGTATCAAAACGACTTGATTTTATATTTATGTCTTTACTAAAATGTGTAAAATTAGTATACATCATAAAATTATTTTATACAAGATCTTACGTACACAAGTGGTGTTTCCATTTCGGGAGGGGCGTATGCCATCCCACCACCCATCCTAAAAAAAAATATTTAATTACTTTTTTCAAAATTTGAATAATAAATTTTAAAATGAAATTATGAAATTGAAAATAAATTAAAAAATAAATTCATATCAGACAACCATCAAATATGGAAGATGAATGTAAAACTCATAGTCAATATGTTGATGATGTTTTAAAGGGGAAAGGGGCAATCTAATGCCCCTTCCCCCTCTAACCAATAATTATTATTTAATTGGTTATATATTACTAAAAAAATTATACAACTACTATTGTGTGGCTACAATTAAATCAATTGGCTATAAAAAAACATGTCATCTTTATAACCAAGTAAAGCAAATACCTATATTATTGTCTTTCATGCGATTCTCACATTAACAGAAGAACCATACAGTATGGTTAACGAGCTAGCCATTTTTTTCGGTTAACAAATTTCCTGTTTTAAAATAAATAATAAATAAAATGTTAACGTAAAAAAAATTATAATTTGTAACAATTTTAAAAATGATTTAATATAATTTTTGTCTTGGCTTTTAGAGAATGGTTAAAATGATTAATTTCAATAATGAAACTGTATTTTAATCATTTTTAACAATAGACACCACGTGAAGGTAAGCCAGAGCCGTCTATCATAAAATTTAACAAGTCACAACACTTGCTGTATTAATTATGCAAGTCACAACACTTGCTATAAATTTTTAGCTAGTCGCTACACTTGCTATACATTTTTAGCTAGTCACGACACTTGCTGTATTTATGTAAGTCACAACACTTGCTCTATTAATGCAAGTCACAACACTTGCTGTATTATTAAATTAATTAAATTGTAACTCACAGGAAACAACATCAGCAGCAAGCTGGATCTTTTTCATGCAATAGTCAACAGCTTCAAAATCAGTTTCATCATTTTTCCGGTAAGAAATTGTGTAAGTGAAGTCATTTTTTCTTTTGTTAACTTTTTCTACTCTGCCGCTATATAAAACACGTTTGCATGTTTTTGGATCGTACCATTCATGTTCTAATTTCTTCCCAACAATTCTATCTGACATCACACCTTCTAAATCGAATAGTTGGTCATTGGACAAGTGCTTGTATGAATTAATAATTTCGTTAAAATTCAATTTGGATAGCTCGCGCTCTAACTTTCTTTTTTCTTTTTCAATCATTTTTTGGCGCTTGATTTTTTATCTTTGGCAAATCCCATCTCTTACTTTGCATCGCTGCAGTCGATTTGTAAATCGACTGCAGCGATGCAAATAAAATTAATGTAGCACATAAAAATAAATTTTTATGTGCTACATTAATTGACCATTTAACAATCTTTTCTCTTAAACTTAAATCGAGAGTGTCTAGATAGTCGATAGTCCTATTCTTTTTTGATCTTAGTTTGCAAGATATATAGCAAATTGTTGCATTAGGAGCCCGTACTTTTGCATCGCTAAACATACCCATCAATTCCTCACTATCTATATTGTGAAACCTTGCACTAGCTGTTTCCTCTTTAAATGTCTCCGTCAAAGTAAGTGAAAAATATCTACTATATTGTCTATTTAAAACATCTTCTACTGCAATAAGACAGGCAGAAGTCATTTTAAGAAGCTCTTCATCATTGGAGCATAAACTTGTTACTGATTCTAAAATATTTGGTTCTAGCGGCTTCTCAAAAAAATCTGTTTTTCTGCTAAACAAATCATCTGGATTGGATTTGTAAGTTTGAATAGTTTGTATAACATTTTTCACAACCTGGATACCAGCAACATGATCAAAAGATACTTACTCTGATGTAACATAAAACTTTTTTATCCAGAGTCCAGTAAGAAGTTTTCCAAATACTGCAAGCACGGACATTTGTTTGATAAAGGTTTGAATAGTGGCCAGATAATTTAAAAACAGTTTGATAAATTTATATTGAAACAACTTATTCATAAAGATATTCCTTATTAAATAAAGACAACGTTCAAACTTCAAATTAGATATGACTCATCACTAATTTGATTCACATCTAATTCTTATTATCAATATGATATGAAATAGTAAGTGAAACCTTTTTTTTCTTTCTTTATTTTATTTCTAAATGAAATATAAAATCCAAGTATTATTTTATTAATTACTAAAAATCGAAAAAAAGATAGATAAAAAAATAGAAAAAAAAAAGACTATATCCTGGACATCAAATTTACCACAGAAGTACAACCAAAATTTTGATATCAATAATCTCGTTAATGAATTAAGTGAGTATAATTAAAAACCAATCGAACTAATGCTTCAACTATTCTTCTTTCTAAAAATAATCTATGTTGATAACGAATACTAAAAAGTTATTCCACAATGCCTTCCTCAAGCACGCTAACTTTTAAGAGACTACGAAAAACGTGGAACAGAATTTTAGCACAAAATTCGGTTTCGTAAAACGCGATACTCACGTACCTAATGAGTTACACTAAAAAGTTGTTAATTGAAAATAATGTTTAAGTACTCTAAGATATTTTTTATCCTTTTTTTATAAACATTTTTGTGAAAATTTTGTAATAATATACTGATCTACGTAAAAATATGGCTACAACATTGAGTTTTTAGAGATCAAATAACAAATAACATGGTTGCCATATAAGATAAACTCTGTAGTTAAGAACCGTAGCCATTTTAAAAATTCAAAAATTTTTAGCATTTTTTCACGCATGCGTACCTAAACATAGCGCTTGTAAACGACCGTGTATATTACAAATTTACAAAAGCAGAAATTAGAGAGAAAGCAAATTTACGGAAGAAATTAATATCGAATAATTTCAAGTCATCAGATTTATCAAAACAATACAAACAACAGTGCAAATCAGTGGAAAAAATTGTTCAGCGTAACTGTATCAAATACGAGAAGAGGATTATTGAAATGTCAAAATACAATCCTAAAGTTTTCTATGAGTATGTGAATGCAAACAACAAAATTAAATCAGGCATAACGTCAATTTTCGATGAATTTGGCTATCTTCATACAAATAGAGAAGCAATTGCAAATATCTTTAATAAAAGTTTCAATTCTGTTTTTGTTCATGAAAATAAAGATAATATTCCACTTGTTACAACTAAAACTAATAAGACTATACAATTAGATGTAGACAATCTGATCACTCGTGACTCAATTGAAAAGAAATTAGAACAATTAGATATCAACAAATCTGTTGGTGTAGATGGAGTTAGTCCATATGTAATAAACAAATGTCATAGCACCATTTGCAAACCATTACTAATGTTCAAAAAATCTCTAAAAGAAGAAAAAGTACCAGAGTTATGGAAATTGGCAAATGTCACTCCTTTGTTTAAAAAAGGAGAAAAAAGTGATGCATCAAATTATAGACCGATTTCACTAACATCAATACCATGTAAAGTGTTAGAATCAATCATTAGAGACGAAATGATGAATTATTTATTGACGAATGGTTTACTAAATGAAAATCAACACGGATTTTAGAAAAAATTAAAGCTGTTTAAATAACTTATTGGAGACCTTAGATATCCTCACAGATGCTTTAGAAAATAATTGTTCTATAGATATGCTTTATCTGGATTTTGCTAAAGCATTTGATAAAGTACCAAATTCACATTTAGTCCATAAATTAAAATCATATGGGATTATAGGTAACTATCTAAAATGGATAAAAGAGTTCTTAAGCAATAGGAAGCAGAGAGTTATTCTTGGGGACCGTGTATCAAATTGGTTACCAGTTATCAGCGGTGTACCACAAGAATCAGTTCTGGGATCGTTACTATTTCTGTTATTCATAAATGATCTACCGGATCATGTGAATAACAACATTACGCCTATGATAGTAAAATTATTAACATAATAAGCAATTCATGTGATGTTAAAAAAACTTCAATTAGACAATATCATGGCATGGTCATCTACTTGGCAAACAGAATTTAATTATGACAAATGCAAGATTATGCATATTGGAAGAAAAAATCCTAATCGTCTGTTCATAATGCATGATATTGACACTAATTTAAACCACAGCATATCAGTTACTGAAATTGAAAGAGATTTGGGTATAATGATACAATCTGATTTAAAATGGAAAACTCAAGTTGATACAGCGGTTGGCAGAGCAAACTCAGTACTTGGTATTATAAGAAGAACATTCAAATACGTTGACACACATTTGGTGAAAAAGTTGTACCGTAACATTTGTTCGGCCACACCTTGAATTTGCGATTCAAGCTTGGTGTCCATTTTTAAGACAAGACATCGATAAAATTGAGAAAATCCAAAGAAGAGCCACAAAGTTAGCGCCAGCATTAAAAAAAAATACCATATGAAAAAAGATTAGATATTATGAAATTAACAACTCTAGAAGAACGGCGAATACGTGGCGATCTAATCCAACAGTATAAAACTCAACATGGGTTTGATAAAGTATAAAAAATGGGTTTCAAACTACAATTATACCGTGTCACAAGAAGGCCCCCATCTGAGGTAACATAAATTCAAATTAAAAAAACTATTCTGCAATAATACTATCAGATCTCTAATCGTATAGTCAACATATAGAATAATCTACCGAGTGACATAATAGAAGCAGAATCGATAAATCAGTTCAAAAACAAACTAGATCAGGGGCGGATCTAGGATTTATTTTTCCTTTGGCGATTTTTTTTTAATATTAGCGCCCCCCACCCCCATTTTTTTTTTGTTGTTATTAAGGTGCTCTAAGAAGTCCTAATGGCCTTGTCACAGAGCACCGCCACAAAGACAATAACATTTGTAACTTGGCTCTCCGTTTCCAACTATACCGATAACCTTTATGTGCTTCGAGTAGAGATCGAACTCGCAACCCTTAGATTACGAATCCAATGCTCTAACTACTGAGCCACGATTGATATAACACAATCCATCCCAGACAGTGGTACTCTCTAATACCAAATAAGCCTCCCTTCCCCATTTACTATTTGTCAACTCTATACTAACTCGGATTTATATTTTCAAAAGGTTTTTATTTGACACCAGGGGGGCTCCCCCTATGTATTCACCCCATTTGCACTATTTGGAATTTTTTTTTGTGATTAAGACTCGGTGTTTGCAGCCTTTTAAAAAAATAAGAACGCATTTTCAAAAACAAAAAAAAATTTTAATGCTAAACTGGTTAAGACAATATAAGTCTAAAATTCAAGCAAAAATTAACTTAAAATCGCTCCCTCCCAAACTATTGTTTTTTTTATTGTTTTTGGATTTTTTTTTATAAATATAAACTTGATTCTGGTCATTATCTTTTACATGAAACATATGCAAAATTTAATAAAAAATTATACCTATACTAGCTATTCTTAATATGGTTTATGTACTCGATGTCAACCTAAAATAAAAAAAGGAATTTGGAAATTCAAAATTAATCTGAATATTCTTGGTGATGTTCAGATTAATCTGCATCAGCTTAATCAGCCAAATATATCACAATCTGTATCGGCAACTAGCACCAGCCCTTTTTATTGATTTGCTAATTTTTATTAGCCAATTCGAAGAATACAAACCATTGAAAACAAATAGTAGATTAACTATGATTTTATTAATACATTTAAAAAAATTTGATTTATTGAGTAATAAATAAATTCAGACAAAAAAAAAAAAAATCTAAAGAAATCAAATTTCTGACCATTTATCTCTCACAGTACAACGGGTGAGAATGTATCTGTCTGGAAGGTATTTGTTTAAAGCACATGAACCACGTCAAGGTTCCTTCCTATTCATGTGTACGATTTTTTATGCAGAACGACTGAAGGTGTATGACAGAAAAATACACAATCAATTAGCAAACTGCTTTTCCTTGCACATTTTCCTTCATTGATTAACAGGAAACTTAATCATAAAAGATAAAGAGTATTATGACAATAAAATAAAGTAGTTTTTAAACATTCATAAAGTTTTTAAAAAATATTTCATGATTTGAAATTACACTTTAAATGTTGATAAAGTCCTCCTAGTGATTGAGTAAAGATAAAAACTGTTCTGTAATTAAGGATTAAGATAAGAAAAATTCCAGTTGTTAAAAATCACTTAAAAATTTACACAAATCGTCTAAATCACAAGCCTGAAATCGTAGTTGCAATTTTGAACAACAAAAAATAAAAATGTGCTAGTTATTTAGTAATATTGTTCAGGAGAGTTCCTTAAACAATTATACTAATAATAACAATATAACAAATTTAACAATATAACAATTTTAACAATATAAAAATTTTAACAATAAAACAATTTTAACAATATAACAATTTTAAAACAAAAATCCCCTCAGAAAGTAAACTGCTAATTTAATGAAATAAAAATTAGGATAAATAATATATTGTACTGAACTGTTTCAACCAGAAAGGTTTTCCATAACTCTTTATTTACTAATATATTTAAATGTTTTAATCTTTATTTTCACTAATTTTGGATTTTAAAGTTGAAAAATATATTTATGGCCAAATGTATTTTTAGGCAATAAAATATATGTTTTTATCCTACATACAAATGAATGCAATACACTTTTAGTGTCAATTAGATTGACACTAAAAGTGTATTTAACTTGTGATTAAAAGATTTAACTTGTGATTATAGATTATAGTGATTATAGTAGACAAAACGAAGTCATATTCACAGAGATTTTAAGTGATTTATATGCTTTAGTCAACAGTCTTTAAACTATTAAAATTGTGTAAAAATGTTTACGAATAAACTGAGTCACAGAGACTTTGACTTATTTGTACAGAAACATAGCCATTTCTTTGCATTAACTTTTTGATAACTTCTTGATTATCTGGAACTATATCTCTATGTGTATACATCAATGTTAAACCAAACGATCTCCAGACATAGTTGATCTTGACCAGGTTTTGAATCTGTGAAGATTTAAAATAGATCTTTCATAAGAACAGGATGTCACAGGTGAAGTTGCTAATAACTGCAAACAAACAAAAATATTGGCAAAAGTTTTTATACATGAAATTGACTTTATAGTATTAGACACATTGTTTGGAATGGGATAATTAGTAGTCCAGTATACCTCCCAAAGCCCACACTCTGCATCTAAAGCTAATGGATTTGACAAATCTTCATAATAAAAATCAGAAAAAATCTTCAAGCTTTCCCTCCAATCTTAGTCACTATATGTTTTTTATCAAAAACAGCTCTAGCCACAACCAAGGAAATAATAAATTCAAAGGTAGTGACCAATTTCAATAAAGATATAGCTCTTTGGGAGTCTGCCCCAAACTTATTTATGTCATTGCTTATAGCTTCAAGGGAATAAACTATTGGAATATACAACTTCTGTAATATGTCCAAACCATCTATTCTTTCAAGCCAATTAGTTCAACTAACATCTTTAAGTTTTTTTTCCTTTTTATCAGGACAGTGTTCTAAAATCATTGTCTCCAAGACAGAATTTTTTTTGATAGAAAAATTAAAATAATAGAAAACCTCTTTTACATGGTTCATAGCATTACAGAGAAGTTGAACTTTGCAAGAATTACACACTGCTAGATTTATTCGATGACTAAAACAATGGGTGTATAAAGCCTTATTGTTTAACTTTAAAATCCTTGTAAATAAATCCATAGCTAAAACCACTAACTAGTTTTTGCATTTGATATATAGTTCGCACTGAAACATTATTTTACAATTGATTTGCTAACATTATTTTACAATTGATTTGCTAAACATTATTTTACAATTGATTTGATTTGCTAGCAAAATATGAATAATTTGATACTAATGCTAATCTGATGAAAGCCTCTGATTAAATAACTTAACGTAAATAAAGCAGTATAAACAAATAATAACTTACAGAATAGGTACTAATTTATCCGATTTTGCAGTTTTGTTTAAGTAGGCTTCAGCGCAAATACTTAAGATGAACTTGATTAATTAATGAATGCAAAAAACATAAAGAATCAACTTGGAGGGAATACTTCTTGTTTATCTTTTCGAATGTAACTTTATCGCTTTTCTCTAATGCAATTCACAAATTATCAAAAATCTTAGACAGCTTAAATTAGACACTTGAAGAAAGAAATGCTAAGAGTATTATTTTCCAGACATTTTATGCGTAAACTATATCCCAATCGGCCAAATTTCAAGGAAATTGTTTAAATTTTTTAATTTCCAGACTTTTTATGCCTAAACTTAACCCAATCGGCCAAGTTTCAGGCAAATATGTCTAGTTTTCTTAATTTTCTGATCAGATCGCCTCAGATCAGGCGCCTCAGATCGCCTCAGATCAGGCATAAAAACCAACCGGCCAAATTTTAACTAAATTAGGGTAAATTTCCGATTTTCCAGATTGCCTTAGATTAGGCAAAAAAATTTTCGCCTAATGCATAAAAAAGCCATTTCGCCAATCAATATATTCGCCAATATATTTAACACTTTCGCTCATTTTTGCGGTTTCAAATCCGAAACCGTGAAAAAAATCCTAATGAAATTTTGACTTTAAAAAAATGTAAAGTGAGATACACCTTATTTATAATATAATATTTCTCCTTAGGCGGCCGCCTAATCTGCAGTACTGTAGATCCGCCACTGTAGATAAATCAAATATTTGCAAAAACATTTTATTACAAAATTGTATATTCCTAAATTTCTAAATCAAAAGATAATTTGATTTAGAAATTTAGGAATTTCTAAATCAAAAGATAATTTGATTTAGAAATTTAGGAATTGTGCAAAGCTGATACAGTGCAATATCAACTGTTATTGCGCTCCACAACTGTTAACACCAGTTGTTACAGCTACCTCTTATTATTATTATTATAAAGTGAAGATTTTTATATTACAACTCTCTATATATAGTGAGTTGTGAATAACAAAGTTTAACGATTATTTGTTTTTATTTTATTCTACCAAATTTTTAATGATTTCTAATCTTGTGTAGTTTACCAATTTACGAAAATAAAGAGTAATAAATTTCAATATGAAAAAAAAGAATTAGGCACTGCCCGGATTTGAACCGGGGATCTCCTGTTTACTAGACAGGCGCTTTAACCGCTAAGCCACAGCACCAGGTGCATTAATTCAAATTAAAAAAGTATTTATAAATAAATTTATAAAAAAACTTATAAAAAGTTATTAAATATTATGTCAACAATAATAACAATAATTATATTGCTATTATTGTCATTATATAATATAAATATTATATAAAAATGTTAGAAGATGAATTTCATTATTAAAGGCAATAAAAAAAACTAGCTGAGATCGGTCCCGTAAAAATACGTGTCTTTGAATATCTCAATGATATATTAAGAATAATCCTTTATTTATTATATAAGTTTTTTTTTATTATATCATTGGCATGTCTATTCCAAACTGAACTTTTCTATACTTTTTCCTTATATATCCTAGCTTTCCGGATCCGTAAAATACAGGTCTTTACCAATTTACATATCGATTTCTAGCCGAAAATTTCTATACCTATTCCTTATTTACTTCAATATTTTTTAGTAAAATAATTTATACTGAAAACAAAATTTAAAAGCTAAAAACTTAACATGCGCACCTTTTCTGCATACGTAGAGCTTATATTTAGGTTTGTTTTTCGGCTGATTGCATTTCATTGATAGCAATTTGCCAACTATAAATATAGCAAACTATATTTATATTTAAATTTGCCAACTATAACTTTAATATAAATATAGTTGGCGAAATACCAACTTAAAAAGCATTTTCTGTTGGCACATTGAGCAAAACTTGCTCAATGTGCCAACTCATTTGCTTATATGACAGCTTTGAGGAGGAGGAGGGGGGAATCCCCCTCCTTCGGGAAGGCCCTCCATATGATCCTGAATAAAACGTTATATAAGTGGATTTTTTATATTTATAAACAATATGTATATAAATAAATAGCCTATATGTTTATATATACATTGTTTATATAGAGATGGTTAAGCGCAACAAAGTTAAAAAAATTAGTTTATATTAAAATTAAAAAATGATTTATAAAGTGTTTCTTTGCAAAAACCAACTCTCTATAAATTATAGAGAGTTTAATATTATAGTATAATAAAAATTTAAAGTGCTATAATAAAATTTTGAACTACAATTACTATATTCACAAAAAAAATAAAAATTTCACTATAATAAAATTTTTAAGCAATTATTTTTAATTTTTTTGGCTTTAGTGGTTTTTGTTAAGAGCTTTTAAATTTTGCGTCAAATTATCTCATTTATAATATTCGTTTTATCATCCATACTGCAGCCGTTTTTCAAAACGCCTTAAGGTTACAAATATCATTTTTGACTTTTTTACAAAATAAGCTAGTTTATATGTCTACAAACGTTATTGAATACATATTTTCAAAGAGTTCTGAAGAAGTTCATTAAAATCATTCGTTTCAAAAAACGTTTAAGAAAGAGTTAATTTTTAATAATTTTTTTAAATTACGTTTATCTCGAAATACGTAATAAACATAAACATATACAGCGTTTTGCAGCATATATTTATAGTAAAAAAATTAATGTAACAAAAAAGTTTATAATATTTATAGTAAAAAAATAAATGTAGCAAAAAAATTTATAGTAAAAAAATAAATGTAGCAAAAAAAGAAATTTTTTTAAATTTTCTTCTAGCTAGGGGCTTTTTTTTTGCCTACACAGCAGAACCTTCTTGAGTAACAGAACTTTCTTATTTATTTAATGTAGCTTTTTCGTCATTAACTTTCAGACTTTTTTTTCAGACCATCCGCAACTTATTAGGATTAATTATTTAAGCACATTAATAACATACTAACAGTAAGCAACCCGTAATACGGGTTGTTAGTAAATAAAATTAAAAAAAAAAACCGCGTATAGAAAAGCCTAGAAACTACTCTAAGATAGAAAAGCCCTTCGACCATATAAAGCCCTTAGACCATATAAATCAGTTTATATTGTCTAAGGAAAAGCCTAGAAAATGACGTAAGTCCACTATTAACTACTCGGTGTAGTTATGGCACTTTTAAAATATTATAAAGTCTGTATGATATTTTGTTGACGACGACATATTTCCGTTACATGGTGTGGTCTGTGAATTATGAAAAGACGAAAAAAATTAAAATAATAAATTTTGCAGTATCATAAAATAAAAATGTTTGTAGCGAAAAAAACCAGACCGTGGAATATTTAAAAAAAAAAAAAATCATCTTAAAATCACAATCGCTCGTCCAAATTTAAATAAGATTTTATATTAATACGTATTTTAGGTGAAATGAACATTATAGTTTAACAATATGATCTGTTCTGATCGTTTAATGGCAATTTTTTATAATTAAGCTCGGAATTCCAGCATTTTTTGTGAAAATAATAATTGATAGAAATATAGTGTTTTGACAACTATATATATAGTTAATATAAGTCAGAACCGATTAGAACTAGGATCAGTAGTAAATTAAGAAACTTTTTTAAAAGATTTTAACTAAATTTATGTTAATGCTGATGAGCGGAATTGATCTAAAGACTCCAAAATAGTGTTCTTTAGATACATTATTACAGGTAGTAAAAAGATTTTGAAAATTATATATAAAAAAGAAAAGTTTCTTTAAATATCATAAAAACCTTAAGTAAAAAAAATTATAACATTTAAAGATCTTGTTTGGGCATAATATGCTGACAAAACCATGCTAATTCCAAATAAAAGTATTCAAATATTTTGTAAATCGCCTTAACTACACCGAGTACTACTATTAAATTAGGGTATTAATATTATCAGAAGTGTCTCAATCATCATACATACGCAACAAATTTTTTCTCCCGGTAATGTTTTTTTGTTTGTTGATGTTTTATGAAATTTTAGCTTTCTTAAAATCTTTTCTTTTGTGAAAGTGTATAATATCGTTATGTTACATATGTTTGTATGTAATCTTTATAAAACTTCAAAATTATTTTATATTTTAAAATAATTGAAAAAAATTATAAAAAAACAGCCACCATTGGTAGGAATCGAACCTTGGGTTACTTGTTCAGACGCTCGGCGCACAGTGACTCAAAATGAAGAAAACGGCAAAAATTATATAACCATCGCGTTTTAAGATGTATTAAATTAATGGTTATTATTTTTTTGTCAAAAAATCAATTATGTGATTTATAGTTATTTTTACGCGCAACAACCAGCAAAACGTGCGCGTATCTAAGAAATACGTGCGTAAGAAATTTTATACGCGCAAACAGATTTTTTTTTCTCGAATCAAGTAGTAGTTCGCATTATACATAATTTAATTTTAAATCTCTTTTTAACTCTCTCCAAATTATAATCAGGCGTGATCACTCTGTTCACTGCCATCCAAATTTAAGTCATAACTATTACCAGGCCTCTCCCCTTTTTTTATAAACAACGATTAAGAGAATTTTCAAAAAAAAAAAAAAATTCAGTCATCAACAAAGAGTATACAATAAAATGCTCTGAGCATTATTATTATAACTATTTTAAATTTTAATTCATAGAAAATTTTAACTTTAATTATTTCACATTTATGTTATCAATTGTTACCCGCCTCATTTGATAAAAACAATGACTGAAAAATTACCTTCAATAAAAAAAAAATTCAGACATCAACAAAGAGTAAGTAGCAGTTATGCTCTGAGCATTACTATTAAACATATTTTAAATTTTAATTCATAAAAAATTTTAACTTTAATTATTTCAAATTTATTTCACCAATTATTACCCTCCTCTTTTGATAAAAACTATAATTGAATGAATGATAATTAATTTAAAAAAAAAAAATTTAGACATCAACAAAGAGCATATAATAGTTATACTCTGAAAGTTGCTATCATAACTATTTTAAATTTTAATTCATAAAAAAATTTAATTTTTGATGCAAATGTATCTATAAAAAAAATTATTTTTATTGGCAATCTGTAAACCATGTTCTAAAAGTTTGTGAATGCTTGGAGGTATAACATACCAATTATATTAAGAATGAACTTTATCTGCTGTATCATTGCATTAATTTTGAAAAAAGCTTGGATCAAAATCATATCCTGAACAAACTGCTTTTAAAATTGTTTTAAGTCTTGAGATGATATCAACATCTACACCAGTTATCTCAGAGAAGGTAATCGATTCCTCAAAGGCTCTTCTGGCAGTGTTACCATCATTAGTGTTTCCAAAACTTGTTTTGGCATGTCAACAATAAGACTTAGTTCTTCCCTAAACTTCTTTTGGATAAATGCTTTTCTTTCTTTAACTGATTCTTTCTGCTCAGAG